GTGCATGCTTCACGGGCTTCATGAAATATACATTATTATTATTATTATTAACATTTTCTAAGGAATCAAAATGACCCATATCCCCCCCCAGTGACTTGCCGGGTTACTTCCTGTTGGGTTCCAGTTTCAATCGAATTTGTAATGATCAGATCCATAAAAGGTCAATTGAGACACTCATGAAACCAACGACAAAGAAGAACGCAGTGTGAATTCCCCAATCAGAATAACTACCCATCCATCGCAATGGTCAGGAGACGAATATGGGTATGAACACCGCCTTGGGAGTTTGAACACAAAAATACACAAAAAACGTGCAGGGAGAAGAGTAAAATACATCGGATAACCAAGACCTGATCGGATGCGCAGTTCACGTGACTGGATGCTACCGCACACGAGCGCTCAAGTTCAAAATGGGACGAATGAACAAGGAAAAGAATAATAGTGCAAATGATAGAGGTAGGGGGTGAGCAAGAAGAGATAGAAAGAAAACAGTTCGGGCAGCAAAAGAACGAGATTGTGAAAACAGTTGCGGTGATGGGCATATTGCCGATTCGGATGCGCATAAGGAGCAGTATTACTAATGGGATAGTAATATAACGAATTGGTAGTGATCATAATTGCAACAATAGTAATTTTAATTATAGTAATAATAATGCGTGTTGAAGTATGAAAGCAGATAATCTTAGCCCTGGGGCAAAGACATTCAGGCAGACAAAAGGCCCAAGAAGGAGTGGGATAAAGTGATGAGAGCAACGCCCAACCACTCTGGGAAGGTGGAAGCCACCAATCAGTTCTGAGAAGATAGAAGAGGCGTCGAAATAAAGGCAGAAGGGTAACCGAGACTACAAGTCGTATTGTTCCACGTTACTGGTCGAGTCGAAATATGCGAGGAGCAGCGAGAACGACCATGGCGAAATTGATATTTCACCTCCCGGTCTAGTCGTATCAGACATCACTGGATTGGTAGAGAGACAAGTGTTCACCTTAAAACAGAGAACAGGGCATGATACAAAACAGTAATCGACAAACAATGTGCAATCAGAGTTGCGAATGAATATAGTTCGATAAATCCGAAGAAATAAAACAGACAAGAGTGGGAGTGTAGCTCAGTGACGACGATGACACTCGTTCGAATTGGTTTAGTGCTGTTCAATACGGTTGAGGCCATGAAAAGTGGAATGCCAGAATTTACAAAAGCCATATGAACAGGAACCAGATGGGACACTGATGGACAACAATCCTGAGCGATATGTGGGCTACGTCGCATTTCGCTTTTCGGGCGATGCCCACCTGCCCCTAAAGCACATGTGCTTCTGAGGGGCTTAATGTGATCGAAGTAAACGGGCTCATGATTTCAGAAGTTAATTTCATGATTCTTATCCGGACGCAATCAAGAATAAATGAAAACATGAGCAATCGGAGGATACGACGCTTGTACACGCGCGTGTGAAAGGAGCTTCAAGAGAGACAGCAATAGCGGCAGGGTGAACCGTATCAAACGGACATACAGCCACAGTGAACACATGGTATTGGGGGTGTATCCAAAACTCGGTCGAGAATGGGTAGTCTATAAGGTAAGAAATGAGTCAATAGATGCACAAGAGGAATTGGTAAATGCCACGAGAAATACTGTCACAAAACCAATGACCAATCTGGAACAGACCGGTTGGACTGTACAGGGGATCTAGCGTATTGCGTCGATCATGGGAGAAACAAGGCAAGGAAATTAAGTTTAATGGGCACATGCTGACCGTTAGTGTGTACATCAATGGAGCCGTAAAAAAGATGAGAGTATGAGTTATACCAATATTTACTGTCGCTGTTCGAATATTCTACGTGTCAGCTGGTCGTCAAGGTTACCATAGTATTGAAGGGGGCAATATGGTGGTGCATTCTTGAAGGAATAGAAGGAAATGCAAAAGGCACCGAAAATGAGATGTTATTCGTATTAAATGAGGGAAAGAGGAGTACGGAGAAGTAACGAGTCTCGCCGACGTATTGCTCGGTAATAAGTAGGGCAGATGAGTAAATGAGACTAAGGGATGATGAAAACTTCAAGGTACAAGGAACGTCGAAATACGGTCACTGACCAAACAGTATGACGGCAAAAAAATGGAGAATGAACCGGGCAAAGCTGCCGTTTGGGGATGTTCGTAAATAGAGATACGAGACAGGAAGCTGTGGACAAACTATTAAAACTGTCCACAAAAACCTGTGAATTGGAAGTGAAACGAGGAGTGATGATGCAATATCCTGGCTGAATCAAGGCTTATTGATACAAAAGGAATGGCAAGGTAGTATAGTTGTACACGGGCTGTGCAACGCGCACGAGTGGGATAGACAACGATTTCACACTCACTGAGTGAGCGTTCATCGCCAATACGTGGTAAGAAATAGAGAACGAGTGTTTCGTGACCAGAACGAAGATGCAAAATGAGAATGAGTGTTCTCGTGGAGAGTCCAGGAAGTGTGCGGGACGCATGACGACCGATAGCCTGGTGGCGGTGTTTGTATGGTAAAAAGGACGCAGTATTTATCTCATACTATCTGTTGGATGAGGAAAATATCGGACGTGTGAACGGGGGCGGAAGGGAGAGGGAAACAACAATCGAATAGGGATACGCAAGAGTGCGTGTGAGTGCGTGCACTCAAGGGGGTGGGAAAACGTGTGGAACGTTCTTTTTACAGGGCATTCGACGCTAAATCTACAAGTTGACACGAGGAGTTACTGTGGTTGCTGTTGCTGCTGAGCGTAGGCGTAGGCAGAAAAGTCACTGGCGGTGGGTCGTGCCATTTGTTGCGGAGAGGCTTGCTGTTGCAAGTATTGCTGTTGTGTGGTCTGGGACTGCTGATGCACGACAGCGCCGGGATTGAATGCAGCCGCCACGGCGGCTAATTGTTGTTGGTTCTGCGCCGCTTGGAGTTGTTCAGCTGTTGCATTGGTCCAGGCACGCTGATTGCATACTTGGGACTGCTGTTGTTGGGCTTGTTGTTGTTGTTGTTGCGCTTGATGTTGTTGTTGAGCCTGTAGCTGGGCCATATTCTGTTGTTGCTGACCAGGAGAGAACGTCTGCATCATTCCAGGTAACTGATGCGCAGCAGCATATAGTTGGTGAAGCTGCTGTTGTGCCGAAGCAAGGGCCTGTTGCTGTTGTTGTTGTTGCTGCTGCTGTTGCTGCTGTTGTTGCTGCTGCAGGCTTGGAGAATTGCTAACCGCCGGACTGATGGGAGGGGAAGTGGCGGATTGCGCTGGATAAAGCAAATGCCGTGTGGTTGCCGCGTTTTGTTGTTGCTGTTGTAGCTGCTGTCGCTGAAGCTGCTGCATTTGAGCAATCGCCGCGGCATTTGCTGCTTGATACTGAGCTTGCTGATTGTGCAA